AGGGGGAATTTTATATTACATTCTAATGCCCTCTTTTCTCTTTTGTTCTCAAAAAAAGAAGTGAATCTGACTTTCTGTGAGGCAATCCCTACTTAAAATACACATGGGACTGTGTGTGAGAGAGAGAAAGAAATAGAGAGAAAGACAGACAGACAGAGAGAGAGAAAGAGAGAGAGAGAGCAATAATTATTCTTTTTCAGTGGTAATGCAAACCAGGTTTGGCTTTGTGTGTGTGTGTGCATGTTTCTGCACGACTTGTGTGGATTTCATGTGTGTGATTTACAGCGTATAAACAAACTGACAAAATAACAATCATTACGATAATTCTGCTGAGCAGGGCCTCAAATAAGAAATCATAGACTGCCAGCGAAATTCCCATTTCTTTCTCACAAACAATCTTGTGCAAGTAAAATGCTCTCCAAAGCTCAAGGCTGTCATTACCATCTGCCGTTTGGACAAATGATACATTCATTTTCGATGAACTTCAAAAATAAGCTTGCCTGTGATGTGGTGCCTCAGTGCGCATTCTGAACCATGAACAACATCATTGTTCATTCGTCTGGCACTGGCAAAACCTCATAGTTTTTAATCTATTGGAACACATATTCTAAACACTCTCATTCATTTCTTTTTGTGTGTGAGAAACAATGTATTGAGAAGTACAATGAGAAGAAACAAGTGTTCAGACCCTTTGTTTTTGCTAATTAATAGATTTTCAGTGCATATATCTACAACACACTTACACACACAAGGTCTATTGACACTGTACTTAACATATGAACAAAAAGTATGCGTTCATAAGCATTAACAAATAAATTAAAGGGGAAAAAAGTATTCAGATACCACATATTCATAACATCAATATTTTGTTGCAAAGCTGTTGTTGGCAATTACAGCCTCACAACCTCTACAGTACGATGTAATTAGCTTTCTGCAGCATTGCGGTTAAATTTTTGCCCATTTCTTTGGACAAACCACATTTAATTCCCCAAGGCTACCATGTTCCCATGGTTGGATTCTCAATGTCATAATAAATTTTCCATAATTTTTCAATAGGATTCATATCAGGAGATTGGCTGAGCTAAGTAAAACACTATTACCTTACTTTTGCTGTATGTTTGGAGTTGGCGTCTTTTTGAAACATCCATCTTCTCCTCTTTCTTGGCCTATGAGATTGAATTCTTTTCTAATATATCCCCATACATCCCCTCCATTCATGTTTCCTTTGATGATGTGTAATACCCCAGTACCATTTGGAGAGAAGCAGCTCCATATCATGATACTCCCACCATCATGCTTCACTGAGAATATGATGCTCTTAGGATCATATGTGCAACCTTTCTTTCTCCAAACATGACACAATGAATTATTGCCAAAGAGTTCTATTTTTGTTTTGTTTGACCAAAGCACATTGTTCCAAAACAGTTTAGATTTATCTAAATGCATGTGATCAAATTTTAGATGTGCATCTCTGTGTTTCTCTTTTAGCAAAGGAGTTTTGCGTGAGGTGTAGAAATAGAGAAGATGGCAGGGCACTTTATTGTTTATTGCTCTCTGTGCAACTTTTTCCTTTCTTACCTTTCTTGTTATTCTGAAAATTCTGAAATTCTGAAACAATGAAAGATTCTACTTTTCACTCAAATTGTTGCTGATAACATCATTTTGTCAAAAATGTTGTATTAAATTTAAAAAGAAATGCAAAATAGAGACATTTTTTACCAGTGGTCTCATTTGGACCCCATTGTATTTGATTTCATGTTTTTTTTGGGTTTTTTTTTATGTTAATCTTTGTTTATGCTTATGAACACATACTTTTTATCCATACTTAACTTATCCATATTTCAAGTAGAAAAACACATTATTTGTGTAAATGTGAAGTGGATATATGCACATGGAGTATACTAAATAACAAAACCAAGTGTGTGGACTCTTGTAAGATCCTTTTCTGTGGAAACACGACTCACACCGGACTGAAACTTTTCTCCCACTCATGTACTCCCTCCATAAACCCCCTCCACAGCCCAATCCAGTGCAGCTCCAGGGTTATTATTGTCTGTTCTGAGTCAGCAAACATAGTGTGAAGCAAAAGAAGCAAAAGTGATGCTAAACCCTGCTCCATACAGACATGAGCTTTTCTTTTATTGATTGTTAATTAATTGTCAATATCTTTCTTATTGGACTTTTTGCTAGAACTCTAATCAAACCTCAATTGCATCCAGTATTCATAAAGGGGAAGCAGCAGAGATGTTTCAGCTTGTTTCATATGACTGGAAAAGCTATCTCTGAATGTGCCTTGCTGAAAATGGATGGCACATTGATTTTATTGCATATTTATTTGTGCTTATTGGTATGCTTGACATGGCATAATTTCAAAATGAATAAAGTTTCAAAACAGCAGATTTTTCTGTCTTACTCCACATCTCAGATGTCTAGTTCTGGTGTTTTACTGCAAATCCTCTTTTTTTCGTCTATTTCCTTTCCAGTAACAGCTTCTGGACAGCTACACATTCTTTCACACCCAAAGTGTAGAGTTGTCGTCTCACAGTGGAAGGATGGATGGAAACACCTGTGGATTTTTAATCTGTAGTTGCTTGATTTTCTTCAATTTAGAACTAGTACTGTGTGTGATTAAATGTACATAATTAGTAATGTGTTATATAAGTGTACCATACGAACAAACATTTAAATAAATAAATAAATATAGGTGTAGGCAAAACCATATTCATTTACAGTTCTATGGAAATTCAACCATATTATTATTATTATTATTATTATTATTATTATTATTATGTTGTTGTTGTTGTTGTTGTTGTTGTTGTTGCACATTTTGTTTTCCATGCAGTGACAAAGCATACAAATCGTCTTTCATAGTCTATTATGCTCGCTCCAATTTTGTACGGACTTTGTCTCTTTGTCTTGCACTCTCTCCGTTCCCTCAAGAAACAAAGCCACTCTATACGAAAACACCTGGATGAAAGTCATGTTCATACCAATATGTTACACAGATATAAATACAGTTGTATCTAAGCAGCCCTGAAGTATTTAAAGCTCTGTAAGAGTGTATGTTTGTGTGTCTTTGAATGGCTTTGGCAAAAGTGCTGATTTGTGCTTGAGTGTTAGGTAAGGCTCATAAGGAGTCGTTCTCTTCACAAAGAGTAGCAGCCAAGAGATCAGATTACTGCTCCTCTCCCCCAAAATGAGTGAAGAAAGAAAAAGAGGACTGTGGGAGGAGACCCACACCCCTGCTCTTGGCTCCATTCCCCCCATCTGGCCCGCACCGCTTGACAAGCTGCTTTGCAAGCGGTCCCCAAAAAAACACAAAGCATACATCTCACGCCCATGAGTCCAGATGCTCTCCAGCCTGAGGCTCACCCACAGCTACGTGTGAAAGATCACTGCCCACTGTTGGGTCCAGAAACAAACGGAGGGGTTTATTCAGCCTGATTGGGATATATTTTGTATGTGTGCATCTGTGTTTGTGTAATGTATAATAAACGTTAACCCATACAGGGCCAACACTTTGTTTCCTCACTTTCTGTATAATCTGTATATTAGTTACAGTACTGGTACTTACCTGAATAGCACTGCATAATAAATCAAAAATTAAAAACTGAATAATACACTTTGGATTCAAGAGGTAAATAACTAAAATGTAAGTAGATTAAGGGGTTAAAAAAATGAATGATTTTGAAACCAAAGCCAAAGCATGGCACTATGTTTTTCTACTCAGCTATGCATGCAACATGAGGGAGACTCGGGAGAGCTTTTTCTGTTGACCAGGTGCATATGACCCATAGCTATCCCTCATGTCACTGTCTCAAAGAGCAGATCTGAACTTATGCAGAACATTTTAAAAGACAATGAATGGGTATGAATGAATGATGCTTTGATGCTGCAAGAATTTCATTTGATTTAACTGTACCCTGGTGTGAGTGCTCTCTTAATGCAGTCAGCAGTTGGTGTAAAATTGTTATCGAATATATGTAATAAAATCTGCTCAGTCAGTTGTGATGCTTTTATCCGTATGACCTTTGTTTACATATTTTGGTTTGATATCAAAAACTCTACTACTAACCAGAACACAAATGCAACAATGTGTTATTTTCTGCTTTTGATCTGGACCTGTGGAACCAAACTACAAATGTAAACGCATCTTCAAATTCATTTAGATTGGGACACTACTGAGAAGGCTGCAGGCCTGGCTCTAAAACCATGGCGTCTTAAAACCATTGTGGGGCCAGAGGTTGGGGTATTTCTGTCCATGTGACAGGACAAAAAAATTTATTAATTAAAACAACATAGAAAAAACAACATAGAAAAATAGAGTTGCCACACATTTACAGGAAACCCTCAACATACACAACATACAGCACATCCGTTAAATACAGCAAATACAAAGTTATGCATGCAAACCCTCCTATGATAATCAATGTTGGCCTTTACACCGAGGCACGGTAAGCAGTACAGCAAAGAGGATAAAGACTAGTTTCACTTTGTTTTTTTTTGAGTTTAGTATGGCACAACGGTTGGTTGGTGGGGCATTGCCCCATTAAATGACCCCCAGATGCTGGGCTTGGATGGGCATATAATAAAACTGATCCATTTTATTTTAAAGATATGAATGAGTGATGCAATGAAGATGAGCGTGCAAATGTTCTCATTTCAAATTTCCCTCAGTCCTTGTGGGACTAAGTTTGAGATATGTTTAGGTTCAAATCTATTGAGAATGTGTTAAAATAATTTCACTGAAAAAGTGCAGTACACATTCACACCAAATATACAACACAGTTTCGCAGCCAATATACTCTTATAAGTATACACATGTGCCTCCTCATCTCTTTCTCCCTCTACTCAGGCCCAGCTTGTTTTGCAGAAAGGGGAGAGGTTAGACAAGCCAGTGAGAAAGGGGGTGTGGAGACAGTGAGAGAGGAAAGAGAGAGAGAGAGAGAGAGAGAGAGAGAGAGAGAGAGAGAGAGAGAGGGGTAGTGGTGGGGCTGTATAAAACCACAGGAGCACAAACCACGCTTTATCCTGCCAGTGTGTCCCGCGCAGTACACGTTAGTCACAGGAAACCCCTTAACTCACCCAGCACTCTGTACACGCTCACACACACTGCTGCAGCCTGCTCACAAAGGAGGATGGCCATGAGGAAAATGAATGAGATGTGGAGAAGGATGGCTTTGGCTTTGGCGCTGTGTGTTCTGCTCTTCCATAGTAAGTACAGACTAAGTTCTTTAGTAAACAAAGTCCACGCAGGTATTTTATTTTCTTTGTGTCCCATGTGCTGTGCTTTGGAGTCATTTCTTCTCAATTCAAAGCAATTTTCTTTTGTCCTTTTAGCTTCTTAATTGAGGTTTACTGAGTTAATGCTTACTGTTTATTAGAAGGGCAGCTAATTTCAAAAAAGTGAAGAGGCAAAACTGTGAGTAGAAGGGCAATCCCAAAGAAGCAAAAAGATGAATAGAGGAAAAAAAACAATTTCCACAGTGCTGTCAAAGATCTTTGTTGGCCTGATTGATGAGATGGTCAGAAGCTTGTAGTACTTGCCCAGAACAGACTAGTAAAAAGTTAGCGGGAATCTGAGACAAAGAGGGCTGGCATGGAGTGGAAACTTGCCGTTGAGCGTAATTATGGAGTATATCCTCCTTTTCGACTGGGTGGAGCAGGGCAGGCATATGAGTAGACACAGGGGCGTGAGTAGGAGCGAATGAAGGGTGGAGGACAGTAAGCAGTAAAACATCCTTTTTTCCTCTTCCTCTTTTTCATCTTTCCTTTCTTTTTCTTATGTCTTCCTCCCTTGCTGACAATGCTTCTGAATGGATCCCTCTTTTTTATTGTATTTCATGCTGCCTCACAAAGGATGTGGTTCATCTTGTGTTTGCTTCATGCTCATTTAAGGAGAAATGGGTGTTTACATTAGCATTCAATGGGTTGAGGGAGGTTGTGTGTATGTTTTGTAGCAAGAGAAGTGACCGCATGTCTGTTGATTCAGCAAGGAGTTTAAAAAAAGGTCCAAAGGTGACGCCCATGTTAGGATGATTCCCGTTTGGTGGTGCAAAAGGGTGATCCTCCGCCTCTCTCCCTCCAAATTGCCTCTGTCCAGTTCTGTTGAAGGTGAGAGTAGGGCATCTAGCAGTGCCACTGGTAATTACGGGGTGAGCTCTGGCTTGGACACTGCTCTACATGTGAGGGCCTGGTATAACAATTTCTGCCCAAATTGGTGGCTAGACTGGGTAGTCTTGAAAGTAGACCTGGCACTATTATGTCCATGGAAACACCCCACCACATGTCGTTAGCAAAGGGAAAAATCAGCAGTGAGCTCCAAATTTATACAGTGCAAACGGTCTTATTGCTAAGAGACGATCAGCACAAATAGACACTTACAAAGCATATACACAGTGTGCAAATCTGACTACTAATTCGATTTTCAAGATAAAAAGGAAATTGAATTATGCAGCCAACCCCTTCGTTAGCCCTTGCAACCCTGCTCACAGTATGGCTGAGCTTGTGTATGACAAGTAATTTAACATTAATGTGCCCTAGATTCTTCAAAGTGCCCTCAGAAATGTTAAACACTTTAGGCACTCAGAAGTCTTACTTGGTTATAGACAGTAGGGGTGGCTATTTTTACCATTTTTATCTTTATAGTGATAAATTACTTTATGGTTTTTGGACCATTTTGATATTGATGGAAATTTTTGATAGTATTTTTACTACTGGTTCCCTGGTTTTACTACTGTCTTCTCTGCCCAACTTATCAAACCTCAGAAATTTTTCTTCCTCAACATATCATGATATTATATTCTTTGCTATATCACCCACCCATTATACAGTAGTATAAACCTTCTGAAATTTTTAGATTGGAAAGTCTAACAACTGCTTAACCACTGGAAATTGAAAAGAGAGGGTGCTGCAGTCAGGAGCCGTGGCCCCGCCCTAGTCTGAAAGCGCAGACTTCCACATATGACCATTCTCACCATTCTGTTACATTGTTGCTACTCATGTGCAATTGGCACTAATGCGAGAGATTTTGCTTGGTGGTGATCAGTATAGAATCACCTTCCAATAAGGCTTGGAAAAATCATTGCATTAGGGATGGTCCCACCTGTAGAGAAGTTCTACTCTCATCTTTTCAGCTGATTATGGACCTTTTTACATCTCCTGACTTGCACTCTTAGAGAGTCCAACAATTGTCCAGTGTATAATAAGAAAACGCAATAGTATCGGATAGTATCGATCATCACAATTGACATTACATAACCATGATGTAAAGCAGAGGACTAGACAGCATAGACAGATGCAATCATATACAAATTTTGGGTACCAGTAACTACATTTCAGGTTTTGTTCATTTTCTAAGTGAAAATAAGTTAACACATTTACACTTCATATTTTGATGTACAATTGCTATTTATTAGCTTAAATCAACATGTTGGAAAAATAAGACATAAAATGTGTCTTGTGTGAAAGTTTTATATTTTATATTTATATTATTATTTTTTCAGATGTTCCTTTTTTGGAATACGTTAAACTCAGAAGCCTGTATGTTAAACATAGAAATTGTGCAGAAGTTTGCTTTCTGTAAAGGATGTGCACTTCAAACTTAGTATATGACTGTATGCTAGCAGCACTGTTGAATTTGCTTGTAGAGTCTCACAAGCAAACAGGCAAGAGTCTCCCAAAGCAAAGATCTGCTACTGTTTGGCCACATAAGGTCCAGAAGTGACAGTGCACCACCAATGCAAACATCTCCATTTCAGAGACATTAGCTCTCAACTGTGAGAAAAGCAGGAAGGAGGAGGAGGTGCATGGCATGACACAGGCTGATGGCAGATGTGTTTAACTCAGCTAGGCTCATACTTGCATCAATACAATTTCAACTAAAGGGAAATTCAACCAATTTTTCAAAACTTCTACATAAGTAAGCCATTAAGAAAGTCATTCAGAGAGGTTTGATGTGAAATGTGGCACTATTTACGTAGAATTGTTTACAGTGGTGGTGATTGGTGGTTTATTGTCTAAAAAGTTTCACTCTTAGAAAATTCTTACATGAACTACTTACAAACCTGTAGCCTGATAGATTATTTGATCATAGTTTTGCAAAGGTCTTGGCCTAAAACATATTTTTGTAAAAGCATTCATGGTGGAAAGCATTCATGGTGGAATAATCTGAGAGAAGAGTCAGGCTGTAATTGGACTTGAGTGGGAAAACACTGTCACACTTCTTTAACTCTATGACACACCTAATTTTCCATTGTGAAACATGATATCATAGCATGTGGCTCTAAAGGAGCTGGAAGTGTCCAGAGCATCAGTTAAATAGAACAATCTTACCAATAGTAGTGCAGATTCGGAAGAACCTTGAGCACCCACCACTCAGCCTTGAACCAGGAAACTTCATCCAACACTCACACAGCCTGACTGAAAAGAACATCAGCCAGCTTAGCATTGTTCCGATATAGCCCAGACTTGACTGACATTTTTATTGGTCTGATTAACACAGCAAAGTCATTCAGTGTAGAGCAGATGCTAACTTTCATAAGCATTCTGCCACACAAAGGCACCCAGTCTTAACACAAAAGGGGTGGAAGTCTGTGGCTGTGAGTGTCCATCTTCTACATGCCATTATTGTGAGGGAGACACTTCTCGGTGGCAAGGATCATTAGAAGAGGCATGTCATAGAGGAGAGAGGCAGCTCTTCTATCTCTCTGTCTTGGATCTAGAACATCCTCCTTGACAATCAAGTCTCCAGCCAACATAAACGTGAGCTGAAGATTGCCATTCATTTTCTCATGCCCTTCAGTTATGCATTCCAGCAGACCAAAGCCATGCTAGCAAACTCTGTTAACTGTTAACGTCAAGTACCCAAGGGTGTGGGACTTTTAGTAGGATGATTTAACCTATCAGCGTTTGGCGTGCTTTATCTCAAGGGAATCAACAAATCAGGATGTAGAGTAATGAGTGATGTGAACTTATGGCTTGAGGCTGGGCTTGTGAGGTCACACAAGCAGACGTAAATGGCTAGATTAGATAAACTCTGGACGACATAGAGATCTCTAGTGATGAATAAAGTTTGCAGCTTGATTTGCTTCTTGTATAAGCAAAGGTCATTCAGACAAACAGGCCCACGCCTTATAGTCAGTAAAGTTACATAATTGGCAATGCTGATACATGCCTACAACACAACACAACTTAATTAAGTGCACATGTGAGAGAACTTGTAGTTCTCTGTAGATGTCAAGGGCATGAACACAACAAAGAGTCCATGCCAGCTTTTAGTTTGCAAGAAACATTTAATGAACAACAGAAGGCCATTTGTATTCGCGTCTCCTCTCTTGGTTATTGCTGTTCTCATAACTCTTTGGTTCCCTGCTTCGCTGGCATACTGAGGCAATTTTACAGTTGTTAGGCGTTTATCAGAACGCAGGTTTTTCTCCCAAAGCTGCACATTCATTTTGAATGAGAAACTCTGGCAACAAGTGTGTCCAAAGACCTGAGTCAAAACATTAGAGTGTAATTATCCCATGGGTACATACAACTCCGCTACGAGTGGAAACTCTTAAGACATCAGACTGGTTGTGTCTAGTACTTGCTTCATCAAAAACAACACCAAAGCAATGGAAGTTATTAAGTCACTGTGGCGAAACTTCATAACATAACCTGTTTATGGAGCGAAGAACATTCTGAGGAGCATGAAAGCCTCAATAAGTACTATTCAGGGGCAAATCTGTTTCCCTTTGTATCAGCTCATCATCATGCTTATCAAAGAGATTTGAATTTGATACCAGTAGTGTTACTGAATTATGCTTGTTAGTGAACACAATTTGTGGCATCAAACATGATTTTCCTGGGAAATAAGCAAGAAAAAGCCTTCTAAGTGCTGTAACAATTGCCCCGGGTAATTAATGCTCTGCAAGCGATACAGCACAGAGGCAATTCTGTCTAATGTTCCCTAATTGAAAACACAAGACTGCATCCCTTCCTGCCTTTGCGAGCATGGGGACTTTCTCATGGCTGCCTTTCCCCCCTTAACCACAATGTTAAAGAACCCAGGGGATTTGTTACGGTTAGTCAAAAGGAGGGAAAGCACAAACCCCAATCTCAGCTTTCTTTTGTATGTGTGGAATAGTAAGGGGGAAAAAAAAAACTTTTCCTGATGTCCCATGATGCCCTCTCTTTTTCTCTCTTCTGCTGTGGCTTTCTCCAAAAGCGTT